ACAGTAGGGCTATTGCAGACAGAAACAATACTGTACTACATAGATGTTTCCTGTTGGTTCAATTTTTGAGTGGACTTTGCGAATGATTTTTTACACGGCACCCCTGCTCTCGACAGACGGCACCCCGCTTGGGAAACACTGGTCTATACCGACATAAACTAACAAAATCTTTTTCTTTCTCACAGAGGAATTGGGCTCTCCCTTGCATTCTGTCAGTAATGGTCGTGCATCTCCTCAGGAGCCGAAACGTTTAACCCCTGAGGCTCCGCCTCGCCCTTCGCCCCAAGACAGCCCCAAGCTGCTCCGAGAATTCCAGAGCAACAAGGACCCGGTTCCTGTGGGAGAGAACTTACCATCTTTAGCAACACCCGAAACCTTGGGAGCAGATAGATCCATCCAGAACCCAGTTCGCGTCCCTGACCAACACCGGCAGCTCAGCAATGACACTGCATCGTCTGTGGATGTTCAAAGTTTGAAACGTAAGCTTGTGGAAAGTCGGACATCCAAACAGCCTAGCACCAAACGGACCTCAACGTCAACCAGTGCAGTCGGGAGTTACCCGGGGTTTCCTTTAAGCCCCGGGTTTGGGTTCCCACCTATGGGGCTGAACCCTGCCTTGTTGGGTGCCCTGGGTCACATGACTCCCCCCTCTCTTGGAAGCAGGTCGCACCTCCTACAGCAAGCTGGTCAGGCTCTGGGTGACCTTCATGCCATGTTTCCCACTGACCCACTCGGACTTGGCGTGTCCAACAGCACTCTTTCCTCGACCTGCTCGACCAACACCACATCCTCCACCCATGTTGGAATGCTGGCCTCTTCTTCATCCTCTGTGCCCTCTTCATCATCGTCCTCCACTTCCTCTTCGCTCCCACCCTTCTTCATGAACCCCAGCATGGCAAGCATGCTCTCCGGCTTCCCAGTACCATTTTCCCAGCCGCTGTTCCGGGATTCCCTACTACCTAGAGGCCTGTCCTCTATGCCAACCCCTGCCTCCACTGCCTCCAATTTTCTCTCTTCCTCCGGGCTTTTGGGGGCAGCGTTCAACCGCCCCGACACTCACCCCCCACTCACAGAAAACGGCGGGAGTAGCTCGGATGACGATGTCATAGAGGTGATGGGCCAGTGATCGCAGTGATTGGCTGCCTTGGATTCCGTTGATCCAAATAGAAGAATCAGATTGAATGGAGCTGAAATTATGTAAATCCAAATGCTGAATATGCATGGGGTTAAGAAAGGCGATATATATTTTTCTTTACCGTAAGGGACCAGAGCACAGGGCTAACTTGAAGAGCCCTAGTCGTATCTCTCTCGCAAAGGGTCAGGACACGGACCTGACGAATTCCCTCGGAGAGAATACTAATCCGAACTTAAATGTGATTGTCTTTACAGACTGTTTGCATTCATAAGAGATGACTTTAGAGATACTTAGCCGTTTGCTAGACCTTGTAGCATCACCTGGAATGATAAACGAGAAAAACATATGTGACCTTTTTTTATTATAATTGTAAGTACTACTATTACTTTTGTAAACGGTGGTCCTACATGAATATTAATATTCGTTTCAAATCGCAGACTGGGCAGCGGGGGGAATTCGTAACAGTCGAATCGCAAAGCAACAGAAGCCATGCCAAGCGTTAGCACCGCCGAGACCTTTTTGCTTTCCTTCGAAAAAAAAAAAAAAAAATGACAAGAAAAACCTTAAACTCGAATGTATTTTCATGTTAGCCTTTAAAATTTGGTGGAGGGACGTAAGTTTAGTGCATTTAGTTCAATATTAGCCTTAAAGCAGACAAATGGATCTGTGTTCTCGTTCAATTGCGTAGCAAACAAAATCATCCGTTGTTCTCCATGGGGATCATCTTACGAATGTGTAGACTGTTATGCGACCCTATTAGCTGTTGTTTTTTAAAATTTGCGCTTCGGATCATCTGCCCGCTCGTTCAGTTTCATCCGTGTTGGGGCCACAGTCATGACCAAAGTGTTCGTTTGGCCTCTTCGAAGAATCTCGGTGTGTTAAACGTTTGTGTTAATGTTGACTCATTCGCGCGCTGGTTGACCTGTGACTGACAAATCCCTCCGCCAATAACACTGTTCATTCTCTGTGCCTATTAGAGCTCTTTATTTTGACTCCTCCCATGGTCTGCTTTCTGATTGGCAGATACCCACTTCATGATCTTTGGCCTGAGTCTTCAGACGCTGTTATATCAATATAATGGGGTGTGCATTTGACGTGATTATATCTTTTTTTTTTTTTTTGTTATTTGAATCTTTGTTTTGTAACATCTTATGGCATACCTATGTATTAGTTTTGTTTTCTCTTTTAACTGTACAAATTTACCAGAAATATTTATTTATAATGCTGAAGAGTAATTCATTTTCATTCTTTTTTTTTATTTTTATACGTTTTCAACCTTTTTTAAGAAGGAAAAAAATCCCTCTAACAGAGAGACACAGGGTTTTTTTCCCTCATAGGTGAGTTCAAGACCATGATCTGTGAGCGATTCAGCATTCGGGACCCGCAAACACATGTGATCACATACAGGTGCTGTCCTGGGAGGTGTCCACACGTCATCTCATGTTCCCAGCATGGGGAGGAGTACAAATGACATTGTATTTATTAAATATTGTTTTAACATAAATAAACCTGACTCCTGTATTCAGAATAATGGTTCACACAGTGTCGTAGATATATACATACAGTGTTGGGAAGGTTACTTTGGAAATGTAATAGGTTACAGATTGCAAGTTACCCTATTTAAAATGTAATAGTAGTGTAACTTTTTCAATTACTTTAATAAAGTAATGTAACTGATTACTTTTGATTACTTTTTGATTACTTTTCTAAATTTCTAATGAATGTTTATTTGCAACAGTTAATCATTTTCAAACATTTACACCATGCAGGGTTAACCTTACAGTAGTGCTCAACACTTTAAGATGATCAAATTTGAGCATATCCACCACAAAATCAGACTTTAGTACGGCCTTTTACTTTGAGATTGATCTGAAGTTCAATGCAGATTTTAAATCATAAGAAATAGTTAATAGATAAGAAATCTTTGCAGGAAACACTGCATCTAACAATGGTTTGGAAAAAATTAATTCAAAAATAATATAATAAATAAAAGCATATACATCAACTCAAATACGGTTATCTAATAAAGCTGCCAGCCCACCGGGAATTGTCCCGGTTCTCCCGATGACCAGTCCACGCCTGATTTCCACACAGACACGCAGAACGTGCAGGATTCATATATTGTCTTTTCGCGGCACTAGTCCATAGCGCGTTTTGATTCAAGTGCACTGACCTACTTTTGATTTATTCGTCCAAAATATGGCATATTCCGTCCGCTTTAGGCTATATTAGGAATTCCGTTTTTATGACTGGATTCTACGACCCAGTCTGTGTTTTCCGCATCGCGGGAATTATAGGGCCGTATGTCTCAGAGTAATTAGTGCAATTTGGGAAAGAAATCAATTAAATCTGTATGTGGATGTGTGTAAATATTCAAATGTAATCCTCTTTGTAATCGTTAACATTTTCATTCGTAACTGTAATTTAATTACACAGTTTTTCTTAGTAACTGTAACTGATTACAATTACATTTATTTTGTAATTAAATTAGGTAACGCCGTTACATGTAACTAGTTACTCCCCAACACTGTATATATATAGTATATTTTATGCATGATGTGCAACAGTTTAATAGAAGAGAAAAGGGCTGACTTACATTGTAAAAGTGTAAATAGTGTAAAGTGTTCAGACTTGGTAATTTACAAAAAAATCTACATAATATATAATTTATTCATATAAAGTAGGCATTAAAAACATGATCTGCAAGTTACAGCAGAAATATAGAACAGAAAAATGTACATTTTAACAAAAAAAAATGTTAAGAAATACTTGAATATATTACTATTATTTTAATAATTTATGTATAATATTAATATAATATTTGTAGATTTTCAAGTAATGAAAATAGCTTTCATATATGATCTGTAATTGAACAGAAAAATATTTTGTGCAAAATTCTATCAAAAACTATGATCTCTGCCGTTAAGAAATATTTGTTGCTTACAACTTTAATATATTATAATTATATCTCACTTTATGTTTAATAATAATAATATAAATGTAAATTCAAGTAAAAAAAAAAAAAGTTTTCATACACGAATTTCATACACAGAATTTTTTAACTGAACAGAAAAATATTTTGTGGAACATTCCGTCACACACTTGAGGTATTCGGCCAATCATAATGCACTGGATAGCTGGCCAATCACAGCACACCTTGCTTTTTCAGACCGATGAGCTTTGTAAAAATCGACGCGTTTCAGAAGGCGGGGCATAGAGGAGAAACAATAATGTACAGTATGTGGAAAATAATGTGTTTTTTTTACTTTAAACTGCATAAACACATTTCATTACACCAAATACACAAAATAATGTTCTTTTTAGCAGCATCATATGACCCCTTTAAGAAACCTTTGTTACTTAAGATATTACTATAATAATAATAATATAAACATTTTCAATTAAAGTAAAAAGGCATAAATGTTTTCTTGCATGATCTGCAATTGTTTAATTGAACAGAAAAGGGCAGACTGGCACTGATAAACGCAAAAAAAAAAAAAAAAGCATAAACATCAAAACAATAACAATTTAATAAGAAAAATTTGTTGCCTTCAGTCATTTCCAAAGATATTTGCACCAAATACATGCTATCAACACCACTGAAACGCATTGAAGAATATAAACCTGTTATAAAAATACTTTTTTTTTTTTTAAAGAACATTTACATAATTAACAATAAAATTAGCTCAGTAACTTGCAATTCTGGTCCACTTAGAGTTCACAATGTCTGTCTCATTTCAGATGAACCTTGAATGTCTGTTTCAGTACTGCATTGGTTTGCGGGCCATGTAAGCATTCGTTACCTGACTCATAATGACCAGAGCGCACAGAACGGGACAGAGGACAGCCAGGTACCAGACGTACCCGCTCACGCTGCTGCTGAACCACGCCGAACACAGTCCGAGGAACAAGCTCAAACTGCCCAGCAGGTATGTGAGTAAACCGGAGGCGGCGTGGTAGCGCTTCAGTTTAGCCAGTGACCAGCCTTTGGCGAGTTTGGGATAGAGGAGCGGAAGTCCTCCGAGCGACTGCAGCCCGACGACAGCGACCGTTAAAACTCCTATCAGCCCGTGCCATGTGCTGAAGTGAGGCTTGTCGTTGAGGTTTTTGTTGTAAAAGATGGCGCCCAGACCTGCAGCCGCGCAGCAAACACACAAACCCTGCAGGATCCAGTGCAGGCGGCCTTTAGTTTTGTGCTTCAGCTTCTTGATGGGAGAGGAATAGGGGTTGAACAGCAGAATGGCTTCAGTCATGAAGAAGGAGAACTGGAGGATGGGGGGAAACACAGAAAATCAAACTTGGGAGATTTTGTGATCAAAATGATCTATGTGCAAAAAGTTTAGTGTCAAACTCACAGCGAGGGTCATCAGAAACGGATGCCATGAGAACAGACCTGTGAACAAACACACAGTATGATTTATACACTATTACAGTACTTATTCATATTTTGAATGAGCTTTTATTGTTATATTCTCATTTTACTTTCAAAGTTTTAGTAATTTTGTTACGTTCTTTTGTCATTTTTATTTTGATTATTTATTATATTTGTATTTAGCTTTTGATTTATTTTTATTTCAGGTTTAGTTACAGTAATTTTAGTACTATAAACATATTTCAGTTCGTTTCCAAGGTAACATTCTTTCTTCAAGTTTCCATTTAATGTTTTGATTTTTTCCAGCTTTGTTTCAATTACTGAAAATGATTTTTAATAGTTTTATTCAAAATAACAACAGTGACATAGAGACATACCATGAGCCTCACACCCAGAAATAAGGCATTTAATTATTTATTAATCCATTCATTCATTTGACATCATTATATTGTTTGGAGATCATTATTTTAATTGTATACATTTAAAATTAATTGTTATAAGAATAGTAATTTGTGTATTATCACCAAAACGATATTACAAACATTTGATAATATTAATATTGTAAAATTGCATATTATTAATTTTGTTATTACTATTAGTGTATTATGATAATATTATAATTAGTGCTGTCAAACGATTAATCGCGATTAATCAAATGTTTTTGTTTACATAATATATGTGTGTATTGTGTATATTTATTATGTATATATAAATAAACACACATATGCATGTATATATTTAAGAAAAATGTGTTATATTTCTATATTAAATATATTTCTATATGATATAAATTATATAAATATATACATGTAAATATTTACAAAATATATTCTGTATGTGTGTGTATTTATATACACGTAATAAATATACACAGTACACACACATATATTACATAAAAACTTTTATTTTGGATGCGATTAATCGCGATTAATCGTTTAATGGCACTATAATATATATTTTTATTGAAAATAAATATACATAGTGAAGTATACATATATAAACATACAAATAAATGAAAATATAAATACTGTATTATAGGCCTAGTTCATAATATAGTGTGATATAGTTCATAACATTTTTTATTTAAATAAGATGTTATTTTATTATCGGTAGCGTATTATGATGTCAACATTATTATACTACTTTTATTATTACACAAAATAATATACACAATAAACAGAGAGAATTGATTGTATCAATATTTTCATTTCATTACATTACATAATACATTTATATAATTTTTGTAATGTATTATTATATGCTAGTGTTTATACTATATGTATCCTTTTAGATTTATATGAAGTCATTAGTCTTTTGTGCATACAAACGTTACATTTTTTCATTTATATGTATACAATTGATAGGATATTAAGATATATTATTAATATTTTATACTTTTATTGAATTAATATATTTTTTGTATAATAAGAACATGTCATAAATATATTACGAACATTACAAATATGTTGGTCATCTACTAACATTATACAACATCAATCCCCAACAGTAAACACAGGTGAATTTGAATGGTTTCCTCGCGTCAGCCGTGACTCGTGAGCAGTGTTAGGGAAAGTTACTTTTAAAAGTAATGCATTACAATATTGCGTTACTCCATAAAAAAGTAACTAATCACGGTACTTAGTTACTTTTTATGGAAAGTAATTCGTTACGTTACTTTTGCGTTACTTTTTAAATCTGGACAGGGCTTGCTTGTTTGTTTTTAAAATAAAAAA